GAACAGATTTGAATGTTTTACATCAGGACAAATATTTTTCTAAGAAGGTCTAGTTTGGTTGGTCTGCGGGAACAGCTTTAACAATTGTTTAGAACCATAGAGAAAAGAATATATAGAGAGGAATTAAAAGAATCTCTCGGTATGAATTTTTTCAGTCCCTTTCAGCCTGAAAGGGAGTTTAAAGTGTACAAATCATGTAAATGTTCACAAATTATATGCAGTAGAGTACATTAATACAGTATGTTCCCTAGACTATCCATTTCAATTTCGAATTTTTTAAACTGTTAAATAAACTTTATAATGAATTAGATGAATAAAAACATCATTTGATTTATAGTTATAACGGAAAATCATCGTTTGTAAAGTGGAAGGCATAGAGTCTATGTGAAGTGATCATTGGTCAATTATGAAACCAGCCTATTTCATAATTTGGTTTTCTTTTAACAATAATTTTAGATTTTCTATAAAATGAATTTTAGATTTTCTATAAAATGATATTCCAGGGCCCAACAGGTTATATAGCATAAATATGTGAAGTACACCTGCAGTATGGAAACAGTACAACAAAATGGCCGTTTTACACTTTTTTCCAGTAAATTCCTCTTTATATATATATTCTATTCTCTATGTTTAGAACGCTATAGTTTCTAAAGTATCAAACAGAATGATAATAATTGCTGAACACTTTGTAAACTAATATCCAGATTTTTCCAGAGCAGAATATACCAACTACCAAGCAGCGTATGTAAAAAAGGGGGGATGCAAATTCGCTGTTGCACCCCCTTTTAGGAGAAAGGAGGGTGTACCTGACCCCTTGCACCCGACCCCCCCTGGTTAAGGGCCTGCTTCAAATTACACACTTTATGCAGTTGTATTCCCAAAAAGGAGAAATTGATACATAAGTTGCATAATTTTCTTATATCTGCTCTGATCTGAGTTTAAATAATTGTAATCTGTCTTGGTATAATCGGACCAGGATCATTTATCTTTAGTTTTTACAGCGTCGTGGGCAGCTTTAATTTAAGGACCTTTAAGTGCTTAGAAACAACCTCTTTCATGTTCAGAGTGCAGACATAAACGATTCATTATCAAAGAATCTCTCTTTGCCCATCTCTGTTTGCCCGGATGTCCGATCATAACTCAGGAACCTTTTGACCGATTTGCCACAAATTTGTATTGGATAACTCTGTAGATCCAAGAGCGGTAGGGAAAACTTTGTTTCCAGGCCAAGCTGGGTTCCCAAGCTAGATAAATATATGATTAAGTACCTATGACGGTATGTAGGAGTATAGAGGAAGTAAAGTTTCCAGACCAAGCTGGGTTCCCAAGCTAGATAAATATATGATTAAGTACCTATGACGGTATGTAGGAGTATAGAGGAAGTAAAGTTTCCAGACCAAGCTGGGTTCCCAAGCTAGATAAATATATGATTAAGTACCTATGACGGTATGTATAGGAGTATAGAGGAAGTAGTATGCATGAAGTCCTATATTTAAAATGACCATGCTAACCTTAAGAAAACAGTAGGAGTTATCAGGAGTAAAACAGGGATGAAAAATATTTTTGTTTTGTGTTTTTATTTGGTTTAGGAACCTAATCATTATTTTTTACAACTTAAATGTTGAGGGTTGAAGCAATATTTATCCCTGCAGAGTAGAGTATTGAATTGTCCTATAAATATTAATCTGTCTGCACAAGAAGTAAGTTCCTGTCCATAACTGGACCACATAGTACCTGCGTACGGTTAAGGATGGGCGTCATTCCTGGGGTACGATCGTTCTTTCATGGGAAAGAACGGAATTATCAAGAACGATGCTATCATTCCTAAAAAAAGAACGCATAACGTTATCTGAAAAATATTGGAACGATCTATAAATTAAAGAACGTCGAACGAACAGTAATTGGTTGAAAAGAACGGCCTGGAATCGTTCTAAATCAGGAACTCATTCTAAATCTAAATGTTGGTCTCATATAGAAGAGGAGGGGAGATAGTTGAGATAGATGAGTTTATTACATGTTCTTAGACCAACATTTTAAGGCCAGTGGGAAAAATGATAAACATTTTAATTTTCATTTTTGATAAATATTGACATGTGACACATGCTATCACATTCATTTTAATGTTAACAACTATTTACCGTTAATGAACGTCTGGAACAGTTCCCAATCAAGAACCCAAAGAATTCAACGGAGCAGAATGAGGATTGGGAAAAGAACGAACGAACGAAAAATCAAGCTGAAGGCAACTCATTCTAAAACGAAAGATTTCAAAAAAGTAGGAACACGCCCAGCTCTACATATGTATCCATGCATCGGAAATTCAGGGCTTCTCGTGCCCCTCCTTCAACCAGAATGTACACCAAAAGTTTTTTTTTAAAAATATGTATAGTGAACTGCATACTATTTCCTGCTAAGTGTTTTATGATCCAAATGGGTCGGTTGGGAGCGTTTTGAAAGGTTGCTGGACTTGTAGCAAATATAAAGACCCATAGTTTGATGTACGTAGATATATATAACTACGTCATACCCATATTGTGATGTCTTAACTATGTTCTATATAATCATGTGTTAAGGACTCAATTCATATCTAACCTAAAGAAATATGTTTACCTAAGTTAATAGAGAAACTCTGCTTTGATTAAAGTGTTGAGAGTAATTTGGTTTCTTTGAAACATACGAATTTATATTGTTGCCTTGAGTTTTAGCTTGGTCCATTGATTTCTATTGTCCGGTTGACATAGTTGACAAGATTGCGCCCAGTGGTAATGGCTTTGATAGTTCACGGAATTGTAGCCGTGTGGATTATGTCCTGTTCGAGACATTGATCAATTGATTGCTATCGTCCTATTGACATACAAAGTGAATAAATACTAAAGTGGAACAGACTAAGGGAACGACGACAGGTTGGGCCATAAGGTTTAATTTGGTTTGGAAATAATTTCATGAAAAGATTTCGTTTGGAAAGTAAAGACTAGAAAAAATAGACTAAAGACCCATGTAAATGTCGTCTTCAGGTAGAACTTCGAAACTTTCACGATTTAAAATCAAAATTTTTTGTACGTTTCTATGTAGTTTATATGTAAATACTATTTAGTCGCTTAATCAATTCATTGATTTTGCCTGGCACTTCTAATTCTAAAGGAATTTATCTTTAAAACTGATTAGTTTTGTTTCAAATCTCACTCCATTTTGAAATATGTTTGTAAATTTCTTAAAACAGATCTATGTTATCATCCAGAGGCGTATTCAGGGGGGGCTATGGTGGCTCATCCCCCTCCTGGATCAGTGGGGGGGGGGG